AACACTCTCGTATTGTGATGACTTGAAACACAAAGAACGTGGAGACTGTGTACCAAATATTGAGAAGATTGATAAAATGGTATCTTAATTTCTATATGTATTATATTTAGAAATGCAGCTTGCTTTACAAATGTAAGCTCGCATAAAAATGTTAATATATAGTATAACTAACATCATTGAATCTGTATCGTAAAAAATTAACCAATTTGATTTAAATCCTAGAATGAATCTAGAAAATAACTAAAATAAAAGTCTCTATATCTTTAAAAAAAATTAAACCAGGTTGATTCAGTTCTTAGAGGAAATCAGTCAAAGAAAGAAATAGAACTGACGATTGAGAGGGCACTACATAAATTACAAGATATTTCCATCAGTAAAGAACCCACTTCTGAAGATTTGGACAGATCCATCAACTTTTTAGATAAAATTGTGAATGTTTCTAGGAGATTTAATGTCTCAATCCCAAGGAAGGTATTTTCATTTTTTATTTCGTTAATTAAAAATATAATATCAAATCCCTTGTAATTTATCAGATTTTACACATTGATCACATTTAGGTGATTGTGACAACAATTGACAACCTTCTTGCTGACAACCATACTGTCGCATGGCAGAACACGTCCACAAAACAGGTTATTATCATTTTGAAACTGAGATTAATTTGAATACTTTGTAAAGCTTGAAAGCATTTTTAATAATTTATTTTGATATCCTTTTAACAGGCGATTGCAAGAGTCAATAAGATATTCAGATTGGTAGACAAGGTTGGCCTTCATATCTTGGAAACCATCAAAGAGAATGAAACAATGAAATTTAACTCAACGACAAATATAGGTAATATTCATAAAACCCCAGCAGTGTCATTTTTACAATACATGTACTTACGATTTTGTTTTCTTTTATCATCGGCAAATTGCGTCATTTGAGAGCTAAAATTTTGAAAAGATATTTTTTTAAGTTTTTACAGTTGCAAAGATTCCAGCAGAACAAAGTGTAAATTTCCCGGAAAACAGTAGCATCTTGGGGTCATCACTGGTGTTTCCTGTGCAGACTCAACACTTTAATCATTGTAATGTCAGATCCTAAACATACCTCTCGTCATTTAGTGGCTTCAAGTTTTACAGTAAACTTTGACTAAATCAATAGATAATATATATACTATTTCAAACTTTAGATATCGCATACCTTGCTGTAAAATATAATTCACTTGGAAACTTGGTTAACGACAACAATAGGTAGGCATTTCCTAGAAATGATATATTTTTAATATATAATGTTTTTTTGCTGTAATATGCCTATATTGAATTCTTTTTTCAGAAATAAAGAACATTCAGATTACAATATTTCCTCTGATATTATGTCATTAACACTCCATGACCCTTTATTTGGAGAAAGACTAGACCCTTCATTGCGTTTAAAGTTCTTAAAACACGGGGTATGTGAAACTCCTCATATGCATTTTGAATATAAAAAATCTCCGATGTTCAAGTGAAAATATCATCATCATCATCATTGTTTTTATTTCTATTTTAGAATTCCCACAAATCGATCAGAGAATGTGTATTTTGGGACTTTGACCTGAAGTTAGTGTTGGGTTGTTGAAAAAAATATATAAATTGCTCATTCAAAAAATTAAAAATACACCAATATTTATGCACATATAATCAAATTCGAATATGAGTTTGGTGAAATTATGTATATTTCAGTAACGGAACTGGTGGGTGGTCAACACGAGGATGTAAATTACTATCTACAGATGATCTTCATCTTCACTGTGAATGCAACCATCTGACAAATTTTGCGGTACTGGTGCGACCATACTCAAGGGTAATCATTTAAATCTCTATCATGTACATGTACATAACAGTTCTTAAAACATCATTGAAACGGAAACGATTTCTTCGTATTAAATAATATCAGTAAACACATACCTCTTCTTAAATAATATAAAGCCGCAAATTTCTAATTCTTCAGCTTCAAGAGGAAGATAAGGCGTTGAGTTGGATATCTATAATTGGTTGTTCGATATCCGTGTTTCTCTCTTTGCTGACAGCCATAATTTACATTGTTCTTTGGAAGTAAGAAATAGTGACAGATAAACTACTTTTACTCCAACACCTTGTTCTGTTTCGATTTTTCAATTTATCCCGAATGACCCAAAATAATTCCAAAGTTTCTTTTCCCTCTCTTGCAGAACTATTACATGTGACGTCAGCAGAATGGTCAATAAGATCACGGTGCTTCTCTGTCTCAGTATTGCCCTGGCGTACACGATATTTCTGATAGGAGTGGACAAGATGCAGCATAAGGTAAGGTAAAAATGATTAATTTATTTAGTACGCATACTTTATGGTAAATGTTTTCTTTCAAATTAATTAACTCTCACATATATATTTTGAAATGCCTTATGTAGTATACATTACATGAAACAGACGAAGGTAACGTACAGGTAGCAAAAAGGTGATATTCTAATTTTCGGAACAAAGGATTGACAGCCTTCGCACAAAATTCAAACAAATTTCTTTAGATAATAGAGGACAATGAAATGTTTTAAATATTATGATTTAACAATGAGCTGAAACAAGCCACTATTCATTATATTTGGGGTTTAATTTAGCAGTTTTTCTATATGTCTCTCAAACTGGTTTGGAGAATCAGTCAAAACAATTTTTATCTTAGATAAGGTTTTAGTCAGTTAAATCATGATTATAATATCAACTTTTTCGTTGTTGAAAGCGTCGTTTATTAACTGTTTCAATTGACATTCACAGCAATAGGAACTAGTGCTAATTGTAACGGGGACCGTTACAGATGTTCCCCAAACGCTCCCCAACTCCCTTTTCGTGCCATATTCCCTGTAATCTCTATTAGATAAGAAATACTTTATGGAATTTAAACTTAATCAAGATCTTCCCAGAAAAATACAAAATATATTTAAAAATAGGCATTGCACGCGTGTTCATGTGCGTAACGACCATATTATCTTCTCTACAATATCTTAAATTTTAATATACTTAATATTAAAGCATTTAATCCCAAAGTATTAAGAAATTCACTCATTCGAGTGTATTTTTAATTTTACTCTTTTAACGTGCACGCACGTGGAAACACGTGCATAATGACTACACCTTTTTGTAGAAGTCCCTTATATTTATCTATGTTCTAAATCCCATCCTGTTTGGTTGAAAAACAAGGGAGTTACAGCCATTTGAAGTTTCAGCCAATCAGATTACAGCACACATGCATGCGCGTGATTTCATAAATTTTATCTTTATCGTATTAAAGAATATCTAAATGAATGACTATATTTTAAAATTCCAAACATTTAGTCAAAAAACAAAGGAGATATAGCCATATAAAGTTTCAGCCAATCAGATTGCAGCACACGTGCATGCGCGTGATTTTATGATTTTTTCTATATCATATTTTAGGATATCTTAATGCATGACTATGTTTTAAATTTCACAGCATTTCGTCAAAAAACAAAGGAGATATAGCCATTTAAAGTTTCAGCCAATCAGATTGCAGCACGAGCACATGCGCATGCTTTCATGAAAATTTTTATATATCATGCTGTAGATCTTCATAATGTAGGACTATGTTCAAAATTTCAAAAGATTATGACAAGAAACAAGAAAGATATTGAGACTTTAGTTTCAGCCAATCAGAGCAAAGCGCACGTGCATGCGCGTGAGATCTTGCTATTTTGACCATGCCATCTTGTCTATACTACTAATGTATCCTTACATTATGAGTTTCAAAAAAATTCATCAAGAAAAAGAAAAGTTACAGCAATATCCATTATATTGGTCATTTCATGTGTTGCACGTGCGCGCTCTTGCAAGCACGTGCGCGCAAAATGACCTTCGTTCGGCAAATCTACATAACATGTCTACTGACCCTAAAAACATTTTACCTTACTCGGATGTGTAGTTTACAAGATCACTCGTGGACAAAATTTTCCCAGGAAGAAGAAAAATAATAATAACTAGTGCTAATTGTAACGGGGACCGTTACAGATGTTCCCCAAACGCTCCCCAACTCCCTTTTGGTGCCATATTCCCTGTAAGCTTCATTAAATAAGACAAAATCTTTGTTTTTGAGACTTTAACAACGTTTACCCAGAAGTGTACCAAGTTCATTCAAATTTTGGCATTGCGTGCGTGCGCATGTGAATGCATGTGCTTAATGTCTACATGATCTATATATTTAAATATACTAAATATGAAAGTTGTTAATCCAAAAATATTTTTTAAAAATACGCTCATTCAAGTGTATTTTTGATTTTGCTCATTTCACGTGCACACACGTGCATACACGGGCATGTGACCATCCCTTCTTATAGAAGTCAATTACATCTATCGTTGTTCTAAATCCCACCCCGTTTGGTTGAAAACCAAGGGAGTTATAGCTGTTTAAAGTTTCAACCAATCAGATTGCAGCGCACGTACACACATGTGTATGCATGTGCATGGTGACCATACCTTCTTGTAGGAGTCTATTATATCTATCTATGTTCCAAACCCCATCCTGTTTGGTTGAAAACCAAGGGAGTTATAGCCATTTAAAGTTTAAGCCAATCAGATTGCAGAGCACGTGCATGCACGTGTTTTCATGATAATTGCTATATATCACGTTGTAGGATATCATAATGCAGGGCTATGTTTAAAATTTCAAAGGATTTCGTCAAAAAACAAGAAAGATATTGAGACTTTAGTGTCAGCCAATCAGAGCGAAGCGCACGTGCATGCGCGTGAGATCTTGCAATTTTGACCATGTCGTCATGTCTATACTTCTAATATATCCTCACATTATGAGTTTCAAAGCATTTCATCAGAAAAAAGAAAAGTTGCGGCTCTATCTATTATATTGGTCATTTCACGTGTTGCGCGTGCGCGCTCTTGCAAGCACGTGCGCGCAAAATGACCTTGATTCCGCAAATCTACATAACATGTCTACTGACCCTAAAAAGGTTTTACCTACATCGGACGAACAGTTTACAAGATCATTCCCGGACAAAAAAGTACCCAGGAAGAAGAAGAAGAAAAATAATAATAATAATAATAAGAAACAGAGTAAAAACAATATGTTCCCCAACTTCGTTTGGGGAACATAATAACAAGTCGAAGCACATTATGATAACTCTTGCTTTATGTTTCAGGTCGGATGCACTGTCATTACAGCACTGTTACATTGTTTGTTCCTTTTTATTTTCTTTCTGATGCTGGCCCTTGGGTTGTACTATTTCAGCAGCATTTCACTGATCAAAATATCATTTTCCAAAGCAACAACATTTCAAAGTAAAGCCAATTTCTTCGGTAAAATCATCTGGGGAATTGTATCTGGTGAGTAAAACGTCATTTTTACGGGAGAAGGAAAAAAATGACAATTGCATTGTTATTGAAGGTTTCGAATGTGTTTTTATTAAGATCTAAAAATACCTAATCTTACTTTGTTTTTAGTTATGCCAGCGTTTATAACCGCAGTAACATTTGGAGTTGTATATTCAATGAACAAAAACTATCATTCAAAGACCAGGTAAAATGATCGTTGAGAATAAAAAAAAATTGATAAACGTATTTAAAAATTATGGTGTCCCGATAGGGCCATTACAAAAGTATATTAGCGCGTTAGAAACAACACGCAAGCGCGTTAATGACAACGCGCAAGCGCGATAATGACAAGACGCTAGCGCGTTAATGACAACGAGTTGTGTGTTAGCACGAAGTCGTGTTCTGAACAACGCGCTAGCGCGTTGACAATAACGCGCTTGCGTGTTGCTAAAATACAACAATACAAGAATACAAGAATGCAATAGGCTATTGTCATTAATGCGCTAGCGCGTTGTGATTAATGCGCTTGCGTGTTCTTTTAAACGCGCTAACACACTTTTGCAATGGCCCTATCGGGACACCATAAAAAATACTTAATTGCTGCAACGTTTCTTAACAGTTGCTGGTTATCACTTGAAAGCGGGGCTTTGTATGGTTTCATTGGACCTGTAGCTTGCATTGTCCTGGTAGAAATTTTACATATTTTGTATTTTATTTAATCTTATTTATTTCATAGTATGATTGAGGTTATACAATGCTGAATGTTTGGTAAAGCAAAGGCCATGGAAATTTCATCACTCTTGTGCTTTTATGTTATCTGCAAAGCGATGCTGATCATCCTAATTGAAACAAAACCTAAGGCGCTAACCTCGGAAGGCATGTTAAAAGTTTACTACCTTCATTTGTTTTTTTATGTTTTACTAATTTCAGATCAATATTGTTATTGTTATTATCCTCTCAGTGACTCTTTGCTCCATGGGATATTCACCACAAGATAAGACGAAGAACAGAATAGTGTAAGTCAGTTTGGATTTAATCTAAGATAACGACACCCCTCTGATGTTTTAGAGGTCCATCTTTGCCCTGCTTCCGATTTGCATTGTGTTTTTTCTCAGTGAATTTTGAGCATACGAGGGGTGTTAGAAAAGTTCGCGGACAAGTTCTATTGTGAGCGCGCTAGTTCCGCGAAACCGGTCAAACTTTCCAGATAAAATCTTAACCTATTTTCCAATAAATATGCACAAATTTGGTGCTCTCCGGTGATCATTGAAAAATATACGGCTTTTTTATTTTGATAAATCTTGCTTCATGGAGCATGCTCCATTTTGGCACGTTAACATTACAAACACTCTTTATTAAAACTAAAAATTGCACAATTGTAGCGCAAAGAGATTTATGATATTTTACCTATCGCTAAAGTATTCATGAAACGTCACTTGGAGAAATTTTGAATTACATTGGAGGGTATATGACTGTTTTATAGCCATTTATAAATGATCAACACGTAAAAACACAGCCAAAAAATCGGAACGTCATTGAGCGTCTTGGAGCACTGCACTAAGTAAAAATTATGTGTGTAGACAGTAAAATGTCTAAAAGAGATTAAAATGTTCAAGATGCTGCCGGGAATTTCCTACACACACAAAGGACAACAGTTTTCAAATAATTATGACTTCATAAAAATGGAAGGATTAACATTTTGAATGATTGACTCCATTGATACTTCAATACCCTCTTATCGCAAGGACGTTGTGCCTATATAGTTTTTCATAGTTTTCATACCTGATCAATTTACTACATAGACGTTTTTAAAGATCTCAAAAATATCCGAATCAATACAATCCGAATTAGTACAAAAGACATTATAGTAGAAAAGTAACATGTCTTGATATAGATATTCAATTTTAAAGTAGAAAAAAGATAAGAAAAATCTGAAGAAAGGAAAGATTTATAGAACTGCGACAAAGCATAACGGATTGAAATCTGGTTGTCACGTCGCCTTACGTCAAGGGATTGCTCCGTGAATCCTATGACCTCATAGTAAAAATCGTTGTAAATTTTCAAGATTTTATTAAATGGATCTGATTTTTTACATACTAATAAACAAAATGTAGGAATTTATTCTGACATAGGTCATACTTCACCGAACACAATAGATTTTCCGTAATTCAATGAGTCCGCGAACTTTTCTAACAACCCTCGTACATGATTAATGTATGTTATGTGCATATTTCACAGTGACTTAGGTGTACTCAAACAGGGTAAAATTAGAAAATATTTGATGAATAATTTATCAGTAAAGCAGCAGTGAGAATATGAAATGAAAACATTGAATTTTAAGCAATGTTTTGCCAAGTTTCACGTATTAATTTTACTCAAATTAAGGGGGTATTTTAATTATTTAAAATGTATTGTTTCAGAGCCGGAATAAAGTCCATCTGTACCCTGTTACCTGTTCTTGGAGTGACGTGGTTGTTTGGCCTTTTGTCCATTAATGAAGATGTGGTCGTCTTTCAGTATATATTTGCATTGTTGAATTCCTTTCAGGTATTTATCTTTAGAATTGCAATAACTATTTTGAAAATGCTAAATGTTTTGTAGCTGGATTGGAAATTTACTGCTGGAGCGAGACATGAATCGTTTTCAAAATATCTAGCATAAATTTTGACAGCATATGGAGAAATGTTGCAATATTTTATCTATGAGAGGATTGTTAGTTATTTTGTTTTAACATTGTAAAAAATGCCAGCATTATTTGATAAATAAGGGTACTGTACTAGTGAACATGTAGTTCATAACACGGCCAAAACCATTAAATAAATATATACTAGTGTAGTATATAATGTGTACTCTTGTATCTTTTAAGGGGCTTTTCATTTTTATCTCCAAATGCCTTTTAAGTAAAAAGGTAAGGACAGAAAACAACAAAATAATGTAGATATTTTGTATCTTATTTTTTATCTAAATTCATTTTTTGTAAATTGAAATGATAATATTAAATTATCATTATTAATATAATAAAATATAAGATAAGAATTTATTTAAAGTCAGGTACATCAGCAAAAAACATTTGCTCTGAAGAGCTAATTTCCGTTTTTTAAAGTATGACTTTTTTAAAAAAAAGTTTGTATCCATAATCACCAATTCAAATCTATTTTGAGGTTTTTACTCATGCTGACTGTAAATGCTGGATAAGCAAAAATAAAATTCTATACTTCAGATCAAAAAGTCGATTTGTGAGAGAATATATAAAAGAGATTGGAGAAGTAGACTTATTACATTACCGACCAGTAATCCGCTGTCCATGAAAACAAAAGAGTTTTCTTCATTGTCAAAAGTGAGTATTTTGTTTATAAAATAAACAAAACAGATATAACTTAAGACCAATTTAATCTTGTACAATTATACATATGTTGGCATTGTCTTTTATATTTATGAAAAGAAATGCATCGAATGATAACATTGATGTTTCATTCTATCTTATAAGGTAAACGATGCAGAGAATTAAATCAATTGTATGTGCTTTCAGTTGGAATAGGACCAAGAAAGTATTTAAAATAAGGAATTTCTATAATTGTACAACATTTTAACATTAAAGTTTATCGATATTAAAGATCCAATCTGAAGAAGAAGATTCTATGAAAGAAGTAAGCGAAGGGAATTGCATCAGGGTATCTTCTTAGATAATAATTTTTCTTTAACTATAAAATTTTGTAATTTTAAATATTTTTCATTTTTATGAAATTAAAAAAATAATAATAATAAAGCAAAATTCAAATGTATAATGTGAAAAAAAATTTATGATACTTCAGGGTATTTCTTTCAAGAGTAGAGACAGCGCCAATATACCTCTAAACCAATTATAGACAATTGATACAACATGGAATAATATCCACTGATTAGAAAAAAATGGAGACAGATCCTTTGAAGAAACTTTCATCAACAAAGCAGCGTATTATAGACTTCATACATTGTCTAAACATAACTGGTGCTATCGTGAGCCTAGAGGAAGCTCTTTGTTTCTAAATCTGGGCTCTGGGATCGACTCTTGTGCAAACTTATGATCTTCAACAAAGATAGTGACACGGATTCTACTTCATTGGCAAAAGAAGTTAAATTTATGCATGGGACTCTTTAAAATGACTATGAGCATAGGTTCTATGTAGAGGTCGCCACTGCTAAATGGTATACGTTTATGTCAAAATTGAAGGCCTAAATTTTCAAATTCTCACAATATTGTAAAACAACCAACAATCAGTCATTTTTTACTATTGATTCAGTTCTAATGTTTAAATTTAAATACTCTTAATTCTTTAAAGATACATTAATTTTATTTGTACATTTCTTTTATTTGTACATTTATTTTAAGAAAGGTAATTTCAAATCGATTTGTTAGCCTTAGTTAAAATAATTGAATTTTTTTTGGTAGTTTTTAGTTTTAATACCTTAGAACATTTTAAACCATAATGCATGTATCTTTGAATATAATTACCAATAAGATGTACAACTTTTTATTTTAATTTTTTTCAATAAAGTCAATTGAAAAAGTTTTCGTTTCATTTATTTCATGTACATATGAAATATTCTGTCGAAATAACTTGCATCTAGTCCCTTTTCCTTAAAATTAAAAGACATTTAAATCAAAACACATTTTAAGAAATGAACTGAATTAAGGACAAATACAAATAAATGGATGCCGTAATTTGGAATAAAATTTTAAGGAAAGAGCCTATGCTAAACTATGTTATACGATAAAGGGTAGTTTGCGATTGGGGTGCAGTTTTGCGCTTAATTTTTATAATCCGGTGAGCGGGTTATGCAGCGTAAATAACTCCAAGTTATTATATATTCATTTGAGGTATCTTTCCACTATATAAACATACAGAGAGAAAATGTCTTCAATTCTGTATGAAGTTTGTCGGAAGTCAAAGGTCAATACATGACCGAATCACATGGCGCAATAATATCTACAGTTACATATAGATATAAATAAAAAAGTGCTTGCTTTTCATTATAAAAAGATGAACAAAATAAGCAAGTGAAATAATCGTTTTATTTACAACGTGAACAAATACTTCATACATTTTTTGGCGATCGATTTAACGTTTACATTTGTCAACCGCACAGTCTCTAACTTTTTAGTTTATCCTTATTTTTGTTAGACCTTAAGTTAAATCTTCATGATATAGGTTAAAACTATATTTTTTCCATTAAATTCTACTCACGATAAATGTGTAAATTTATTGGAAAATATCAAAGCATTGCAATCACGCCACGAACAGCTGAGAAGCACCTCGATCGGCGCTGTCGTACTTCAATGTAAACTGTCGCCAGTGTTAACATCATAAATATGCTTTTAGTTACTGAAATCGTAGATTTAATGTTTTTGATCAAATTTAACACTTGATTGCCAATTAACTGGCTCGGACAAGTGTCTCAATTCATCGGATCCATCCATCTCTTTCAGGCGACCGAAATTCCTCCAACTTTTTATCATCAATACTCGGACGTGCTTCCTGTGTCTTTTCAGCATTAGTGATCAATTTTCACACATAAAAATATTCCCAGACAAAAATCTATTCACTATTACTGATCACAAGTAGCCTTTAACAAAATATTCCCTTCGAAATAGAATTCTTAGCCTGACGAATTCAAAGCGTAACCGCCTTTCAAGCCGATTTACACCTTGCGTACTTTTGACGGAAATCTACGGCGACCGGTTAGTGCAATATTTATATCCGAATATATTTAATTTAATATTTAATTGTCCATCTCAAATATATATATATAAGTAATAAATAACAATTGAAGTGGGTTGGTACGTGATCAAATCTTCTGAGAAGGTCTTCGGCCTTATTTTATAACACAAGTTAAATTAAGCTTCATTTCTTTTATATAACATTTTAGGGTATAAAGGACCACAATTTGTGCCTATTCACTTATAACATACGAGGGTTGTTAGAAAAGTTCGCGGACTCATTGAATTACGGAAAATCTATTGTGTTCGGTGAAGTATGACCTATGTCAGAATAAATTCCTACATTTTGTTTATTAGTATGTAAAAAATCAGATCCATTTAATAAAATCTTGAAAATTTACAACGATTTTTACTATGAGGTCATAGGATTCACGGAGCAATCCCTTGACGTAAGGCGACGTGACAACCAGATTTCAATCCGTTATGCTTTGTCGCAGTTCTATAAATCTTTCCTTTCTTCAGATTTTTCTTATCTTTTTTCTACTTTAAAATTGAATATCTATATCAAGACATGTTACCTTTCTACTATAATGTCTTTTGTATTAATTCGGATTGTATTGATTCGGATATTTTTGAGATCTTTAAAAACGTCTATGCAGTAAATTGATCAGGTATGAAAACTATGAAAAACCATATAGGCACAACGTCCTTGCGATAAGAGGGTATTAATGTATCGATGAAGTCAATCATTCAAAATGTTAATCGTTCCATTTTTATGAAGTCATAATTATTTGAAAACTGTTGTCCTTTGTGTGTGTAGGAAATTCCCGGCAGCATCTTGATCATTTTAATCTCTTTTAGACATTTTACTGTCTACACACATAATTTTTACTTAGTGCAGTGCTCCAAGACGCTCAATGACGTTCCGATTTTTGGCTGTGTTTTTACGTGTTGATCATTTATAAATGGCTATAAAACAGTCATATACCCTCCAATGTAATTCAAAATTTCTCCAAGTGACGTTTCATGAATACTTTAGCGATAGGTAAAATATCATAAATCTCTTTGCGCTACAATTGTGCAATTTTTAGTTTTAATAAAGAGTGTTTGTAATGTTAACGTGCCAAAATGGAGCATGCTCCATGAAGCAAGATTTATCAAAATAAAAAAGCCGTATATTTTTCAATGATCACCGGAGAGCACCAAATTTGTGCATATTTATTGGAAAATAGGTTAAGATTTTATCTGGAAAGTTTGACCGGTTTCGCGGAACTAGCGCGCTCACAATAGAACTTGTCCGCGAACTTTTCTAACACCCCTCGTAATTAAAACTTGATAGTTTTGTCACTCTTTCTTGCAACAAATTTCTCTACAGGGAAGAGGGAGATGATTTTAAATCTATTCTGATTTCCGTCTTTCAATACTACTATGTAAAAGCTCCCCAATGACTCTACTTCATATCAGGAAGTGTTAAGAGTGAAAGGAAAATTTAGCAAATGAGGACAGATCTTAGATTGTCGATCAGGTTAAGTGCAGTAGACATTATTAAGGCTGGATTTTTGAAAAAAAGAATAAATGGTATTTCAGTTAGTGATTGAGATGCGCCCCATTAGTAAAATCTTAGAGCCTTAAGTCAGAAACAGGATTTTCAGAACGTAATTTTTGAAAAAAAAATTGCCTTTTAATAATAAAAGGTCATAAAGTTGTGTATTTTAGAATGAACCCAACGTTTTGATACTGGTGTTTCATCTGTAAATCTTACAAAAATGCTGTGAAATGATTAAGATTGAGCAGTCGTGAACTTATAATCAAGCATATACTTGTAAACATTTCAGAATAAACACTTTATAAAAATACGAAGTAAAAACGGAAAAGTTCTTTATAAACTTGGTAATTGTTATTCTATTTTTGTCCAGACGTAAATAGATAATTCTAATGCAATTGTTTTGTAAAACAAATTTTGATTGGCTAATGAACTGATGTTTGAAGCAGTAAAACGAGCATTAACGAGCGTGAAAGCATTTTCATTGTGACGTCATAATAGAGCGACGCAAAAACACAATGCTCCGTGACGTATTTCATGTAACAAAATTCATCAAAATAAGACGTAAACAACAAACAAAATGCATGAATTGCATTAGAATGGGAATAACTAATCTTCTAATTTGGTATTTGCGACCGTTAATGCTGATTTAACGGTCGCAAACATC